CGCGCCGGCGGGGGGGGGGGGGGGGGGGATCATTGGTTCTTTCACTGTCTAATCAAAAAGGCTTGAGCGAAAATAAGAATGTTTCGTCTTTGATTTCTTTGCTTTTACTGTAATTACAGAATAGATACATCTCAACCTCTATAATTACGTGTTTGGCTAATCACAAGCTTATCGAGATTCTACTATAACTAACCCTACATGACACCTCAAGAAAAGTGGCAACGAGAGTGTATATTGTTACGTGGTGTATTCTATATGACTGTCTTGTAAGTATTTTCGGCATAGGGGGCATATTGTAAATGGCAATATATTTGTAGCCTTTGGTATCCAAAATATTTCCAAATACAATGTAATTAAATATATAGGTAAAAAGTTGATAAACGTTGTAGGTTTCACAAAATGTACGATTTAAATTAATTGTGGACTTCGTTAAATAGAGCGAGTCAAACTGCTCAGCTCATCAATCGTCACGATATGTTGGGGATTCGGCTTGCTCAACCAAGGTTTGACTTGCCTTGTCAATATATTTTTACTGTTCAATATGAAGAGCCGGAGAGCTCGCACGAGCGACTCACTGCTCAACTAACTAGTGGGATGAGTTGAGTCAACGAGTCCAGCGAGCGATTTGCCCACTTCCCACCCTATTTCTGATTGTTTGCATCAACCAAAAGAAAAAAATAAAAAATAAAACATAAATCCAAAAAAATAAAAAAAAAATCTAAAATAGTCCGTGGAGTGACTTGCAAGCCCAAAATCCATGGCTAATACCAACGACATGGCAACATTTTCTACCCAATTCTAATCCAAAGTCCAATTTCCCCACCAGTGATGCTAACATGTACTCGACCCACGGCTGCAATTGAACACATCAATCGCGGTATAGCATTTCTCCACAACTTCACTGCGGTCCATTTTCTACTAGACATTTCGTCAAACAGAGGCAGCCACGAGTATCTTACCTCAGAAACGTCAGGAAAAAGCCGACCAATTCACGCTTTCTCTCTTGTTACCTGTCTACGTCTTCTTCGATGGGCTCCATCTCTGCCGTTGACGAGTTACTGGTGTACCCTTCTGCCCGCCGTGATGAATCTGTTGTTGATAATTATCACGGTACTTTGATTGCCGACCCGTATCGATGGTAAAATATTTGAAGAAAATCTTTCGAATCTATTGATGACTTCGGTGTATGAAAAAAAATAGAGACGTTAAATTTGTTAGGATGGAATGGTTACCTTGAAATTAAAATTGGACGAAAAGTTTCAGATTCGAATTGCCATGTGGCAAAGTATTGTGAGAGCTATGCGTTTTTTTGTTATTGTAGCACGTGATGATTTAATGAATTTTGATTAATGTGTTTAGGCTTGAGGATCCAGACTCTGAGGAGACAAAGGAGTTTGTAGAAAAGCAGGTGAAATTGACTGATTCAGTTCTCAAAAGCTGTGAGACAAGAGATAAACTTCGTGATAAGCTTACAGAATTATATGATTTTCCAAAGTATGATGCTCCATTTAGAGCCGGTGACAAGTACTTTTACTTCCATAACACTGGTCTGCAACCGCAAAAAGTCCTCTACATTCAGGTCCTTAGTCAAAACTATTATTATTATCATTATTTTTTTAATATTTGGCAAACTTTGAATTTACATTTAGCATTGAATATGAAGTTTTAATGGGATGATGCTACAATACAGGATAGTTTGGATGGAAAACCAGAGATTTTACTTGACCCAAACACACTAAGCGACGATGGAACAGTGGCACTGAGTATGTATTCGGTTAGTGAGGAAGCCAAATACTTGGCTTATGGTGTTAGTTCGAGTGGAAGTGATTGGGTTACCATAAAAGTTATGCGGATAGAAGATAAGACTGTTGAGCCAGATACTATCTCATGGGTAAAGATTGCAAATTTGAAGATACAACGCGGATTTTTACTTTTTATTCTTCGACAGAATTATTTTAGATATATTATATTGCATAGGGTAGTGTCATGTTATTTATTTTTTATGTAGGAGTGATGTATGTTTTTGGTTACAGGTCAAGTTTTCAAGTATTAGTTGGACACATGATGGCAAAGGTTTTTTCTACAGTCGTTACCCCACCCCTGAGTAAGTGACAGATCTATTCAAAATCCACATTTGATTTACATGATTTATATGTTCAATTTAAAGATATTCTTATCCTCCTTAAAAAAATTAATGTTTCAGAAAGGTAAATTGTACTTGCAAGACTACTTTTTTGTTTAAAATTTGAGTAAACTAGCAACGGGAGGAATATTTGACTAGTTTGAAGAATTCATACATTACATTTGTTGCTGTTTTCTTGAAATTTTTTTACCTATCATGAAAAAGTAAAGCACCATTTGGCATCTTACTAGAAATGATGTTGTGTAGCTTTTGCAACTTAGATGATTCATTTGTTTCCAGAGACGGAGAGAAGTTGGATGCTGGGACAGAGACCAATGCGAATCTACACCATGAGCTGTATTATCATTTCCTGGGTACCGATCAGTCTGAAGATATCTTGTGTTGGAATGATCCACAGAATCCTAAACATACACGTACAGCCTCAGTGACAGAGGATGGGAAGGTACTCATCTGACTGCAGTAGACGTGAGCAATTGATTGTTAGTATAATGGTGCTTAATTACAGTGTTTTTTTCTTTTCCTTTCAATCCAATTAAGCCTGCCAACAATATGTCAGTATGACGATAGCTGGACAATAACAGATAACCATTGTTGCCAAAATGTGATTGCATGCCGAAAACCTGTCATTGAAAGGAACAACTGAAACATTTAATGGGGAAAAAAAATAAAAATTCAAATATTGAATAGTTGATATATATTTTAACAAAGGGTATCAGAAAATAAATTGTTATTATAGGAGAACGAACTGGTAAGTATAACAATTATTTTACTTTAATGGATCATCTTGATGTTCAATAGAAAGTTCTTGACTAATATGGTAATTACTCATGACCGAGCAAATCCAAGCATGGTTTATAATTCAAGAGTTGAACTCGGTTACTTGGGGCATCAATAAAATTTTTGAGACAGTAATTCCGTAGAAACAGTCTCTTTCACCAATATCCTTGAACTGAGTCAATCTGCAACTAACTAGTGCTTACTGTGTCTGCAAACATTTATTTTGGTGGTTAAAAGAGCACAATTTTAGCCTTGTACTTACATGATCTACTTTCTCTTATAATCTAGCAGTTCCATGAGTCCCAGTTTATGATTTTAATTTACTGATTACTTTTCTGTTTTCAATGTGCAGTATGTTCTTCTATATACTTTTGAAAATTGTGATCCTGTCAACAAATTTTATTACTGTGACTTATTAGCGCTCCCTAATGGGCTTGAAGGATATAAAGGGAAAAAGGAACTGCTTCCATTTGTCAAGCTTGTTGATAAGTTTGATGCTTGTTATGAGCATGTGGCAAATGATGACTCAGTTTTCACCTTTCGGACTAATAAGGATGCTCCGAAATACAAGCTAGTCAGAGTCGATCTGAAAGAGTCCAATTCTTGGAGTGAAGTAATTAAAGAATCTGAAAAGGATGTGCTAGAATCAGCCGTTGTCGTCAGTGGCAATAAAATGGTGGTAAATTATTTGAGCGACGTGAAAAATGTCTTGCAGCTGAGGGACTTGAAAACCGGTTCTTTGCTCCATCATTTGCCAATTGGTATTGGATCAGTATCTGAGATTTCTGCCCGACGCAAGGACAGTACCATCTTTATTGGGTTTACCAGCTTCCTAACCCCTGGCATTATATATATATGCGACCTAGAAACTGAGATCCCGGATATGAGAACGTTCCGAGAAACTGTTGTGCCTGGCTTTGATCGGACAGAATTTGAAGTTAATCAGGTGAATTATCTATAGTATACTATCACTTTGGCAGTAGCAAATGTATAGTATGATTCTTCATGGGAGCCCATTGTTTAAATTCTCAATTTTCGTCTCATTTGTGGTATTCCTGCAAGTCCATGCTGAATTCTATTTTTTTAATCATTCATGAGCTGGTTTCATGGAAAATAAGTTGGCATTCTCATTATTCATAACGTCATAAGATTTCATCAATTTTAAACACAGATCTAACCGTATCTTAAATTTTTCTGCTCTTGCCATTTGGTTTCCCTTCTGGTGGTTTATGTATGAAGCATGGGAAATGGGGATAAGGAAATATGATTACTTATGTCATAGATAAAAGTGTTCTTTTGAGCATTAATACATCAGTTGTTTAAGCAGTAGAGAGTGTACAACTTGTCACATGCACATACTTGCTTAAGTGTTAAATGTAGTGTTATTATGGGAATATTCAAATTTTGAGACATATTTAGAGGTTTGAGCCCCATTTTTCAATACTACATTTTTCTTCAAACTTATTTTTAATCACACATTCTCTTAATAAAATAATTTTATGTGTAAATTTAAAATTTTTTCCTACATTTTAACTACACGTTCTCTGGAAAATCACTATTTCAAAATCAATTTTTACCAAATAATGGGGCTCAAACAAGGGCTTACTTTTTTAAAGTTTGTGAAAGGAAACACAAAAAGCAAAAATGGGTGAAAGGACTTCTACATGCTTCTTAAATGAACCAATATATATATATATATATTGATAATCTCATCTTCTGAAGGCCATTTGGCTTGGGTATTCCAATAATATTTTGTTTGTGCAATGTTGGTGCATCACTATTCAAGTTCATTCTTGATAAGGTTAGTAAATGTAAAATAAATATATACTTCTGAGACCGAGGGATGACTTTGATATTGGTGCCCTTGTACTATCTTGCTATGCATTCATAGATCCATCATGTTTCTACCATCATATGTGTGCAATGTTGTGTTCACATCTGAGTGACCATCTACCACATTCACGTGTGAACTTTCAGTAACTAAAACTTTTATACATGTTCACATCGTCTTTTCCTGCCAACAATGCATTCAAGGCTTTCAGTAAATAAATTTTTTGTTGAAAAATATTCATTTCCTGCCAATAATTCATTCGAGGGTTGTTCTTGCAGTTTTATTTCACTTGTGGTTTTCCATGAACTTTGTGAAAAAAAAAAAAAAAAGCGTTGCTGGTTTTTGTTCGACCTTTTGGAGGGAAAGGAGCTGTACATATCTTATTCTTTTCTTTCTTTATCCTTCCTTGACTGGGGTTTTCTTTTCTAGGTTTTTGTGCCAAGTAAAGATGGTACGCTGATACCGATATTTGTAGTGGCTAAAAAGGATATTTGCCTGGACGGGTCTCATCCTTGTTTACTATATGGATATGGTGGATTTAATATTAATATTACCCCCTACTTTACGAGCAGCCGTGTTATGATTGCGAGGCATTTAGATACTATCTTATGTGTTGCAAACATTCGTGGTGGTGGGGAGTATGGAGAAGAATGGCATAAAGCTGGTGCCCTCGCAAAAAAGCAGAACTGCTTTGATGACTTCATCTCAGCTGCTGAATATCTTGTCTCTGCTGGTTATACCCAACCTAAAAAGTTGTGTATTGAAGGTGGAAGCAACGGTGGGCTTCTTGTTGGGGCCTGTATAAATCAGGTATCTTTGTTATCGTCTTTTAATTACTATTAGCTGCTGCACTTTTTATGTCAATTATTCAATTTGAAATGAAAATTTCGTGTTTGCAGAGACCTGATCTTTTTGGCTGTGCTCTTGCTCATGTTGGTGTTATGGACATGCTAAGGTTTCACAAGTTTACAATAGGTGATAGGAAGTTTTCAGAGGACAGCTCTTTTTATCTGTTACTGTTTGATCTATTCTGACTTTTTACATATTCGACCTCCAAACCAGGCCATGCATGGACTTCTGACTATGGTTGTTCTGAGGAGGAGGAAAAGTTTCATTGGCTAATCAAGTGAGTTTTTTTCTTTCAATGAAGGTATCTGTCCATTGCGTTTAATTCAGGAAATGAACAGAAACTTGCTACTGGAGTTGTTCTAATTTTTTCTTGTGTTAAAAATTAAAATCATTTTGTAATTATCAAATGCAAGTGAAATGCCTAAGTCTGGGTCCTGGGAACAGAGGAGGACTGGGGACTCATCTATGAAGGATAGCTTTCTTTAATCCTTAAAATGAATCTTCTAATCTTTCACATGTGTTAGTATTGCATAAATTCTGATTCCTATGCTTGTCTGGTATATTTCTTTATTTAATTGGGTGCGGCTCCGATTAATTATAAATGTAGAGTGTGATGATTTAGATGTTTGGGTTTGTCCTGATTAGATGTGAAGAGATCTAATTCACAATAGCGTTTAGATCCCAATACAACATGTTAGACGTTGGAGATTGGGACAAAAAATTATCATGGTTCAATTAGGTTTCGAAAGATTTCATTGGATATATTACTACATGTATTGAATTTCACGTAATGGTCATGAAATAGTGAGTGATATAGCATACCCCAAGTTTAGCGTGACTGCATGAACAACAGTTAGCTTGTTGTTTATCATAATAAGGAGACTGCTTATCTTTATCGTTGCATTGCCTCAAATATGATTTTTATTGTGCTGTATACTGAGGTTTATGGAAGTAATATTGATCTTTTTACCTTACATTTGCATATTTGTTCTACCTGATTCCCTCTGCTAGCTTTCTTCTTAAATCAATCTCGTGTTATCAATTGTAATAATATCAGTCATCGTGGTCATTTTTCTTTCCTTTTAAATAATTTTTTCAGGTACTCGCCCCTGCATAATGTCAGGAGACCTTGGGATGAATCTCCAGAAAAGACCACTCAGTATCCTTCCACCATGCTATTAACAGCAGATCACGATGATCGGGTTGTGCCATTACACTCTTTAAAATTACTTGCGGTGGGTATTAAATCATCGAAATTAAGTTTTTATCATCACCTTATCCGTTCTTCATTAGCATTGAGTTTCACTTGATTATGTCTGGACTCTTTGAGTGATTTGTGGGGGTTGACTATTTACTGGGTCCAAACGGTGTCCTTGTGGATTCTCTGCAATTTTTGTGAGTAATATGTTCATGAACGTAACTGAATTTTCACCTTTGTCAGAGGAATGTATTAGCGATAGCCTCGTTTGAGTTGATCACCTCTTGTGTACTAATATTGGGCATGTTTCACCTATTTTTAAGCCGGGTAATAATGTTTCTCTTCTATTCTTTCATTCATAGACCATGCAATATGTTCTATGCACAAGTTTGGAGAAAAGTCGTCAAACAAACCCAATCATCGGCCGTATAGAAAGTAAAGCAGGACACGGTGCTGGACGTCCAACACAGAAAATGGTAAAAATATTCGACTTCCTCTCTTTTTATGGGTTACTAATGTTTGTTTATTTGACAAAATTAACCCTAAACGCTTGTTTCTTAGATTGATGAAGCTGCAGACAGATATGGATTCATGTCAAAGATGTTGGATGCCCCCTGGATTGATTGAACCAAAATAGAAGTCATTTTAGAAGAACTCATACTTGTGTGAAAATGTTGATGTAGGCTTGGAGAAATACATTGCACAGTTGAAAATCTCTGCTTGATTCAAATGATGGAATTTCAATAACAATGGAGGATTCAGTTATTTTTCTCCATCTAAGTTCGTTCTTTCTTATATATGGAAGATGCTTTTAAATTGCAGTCACTATTTTCTTCGGACTTTCTTGAATGAAATAGAAATTCGAACCACTTCTTTTACTGCTAAGATGACTCTTGCGACAACATGTCAGCAGGCTTTGATTTTTATGAAAGAGGATGTAAATTCTCATCAGCAGCCAAACACGACTCAGCTGTCAAAGGCGATACAAGTGTATGTTCTGTCCAATAAAGTCTAATACTGTACAACAGGCTCCTATTTGGTATAGTTGAAAATCAATTTTTTAGCAGATCAAGAAGATAAATATATGGTTGAAAAGTTGTAGAATTAGAGATCTTGATGCCTTGCCATCGATAACATCATCAATCTTGAAATCTCTATTCTCATTTTAGTCTTATTAGACTGCTCGGTTGAAAAGTTGTTGATTTTAGTATTGCCATGTAAATGTAGAATTAGAGATCTTGATGCCTTGCCATCGATAACATCATCAATCTTGAAATCTCTATACTCATTTTAGTCTTATTAGACTGCTTGATTGAGCTTAATGATTCCTAATGGCATATTACGTTCATATTTGGTGTAGTTAGAAATAAGATTTTTAATAAATTTGAACAAAAGTTGATAAACTGTCTAATTGAAAAATTGTGACTATAAAATATCTTATTAAAATTAATTATTGATTTTAACTTAAATTTTAATCAACATCAATAAAGGTTAAGTGCCAAGTTCGTCTATAACGTGCCCAAGGAATCAGCAGAAGTCCCGAAATTTCGAATCAAGGATGCTAACCATCTTCTTGGTCTATTGGTTTGGTCTAGCCTTCTCTTGTAGTACCTTCATTCAAGGTATTAGTACCATCACAACTCTGTTTATCGAGTCCACAAATCGTAGAACAATTACAAATTCATTCAATCGATAGTAAATAGTATTTTGTATTAGGACACACTGTGCGTGTTTGAGCCACATTATTTTAAAAGAAAGTATTTTGAAATAATAGATTGGTGGAGAATGTATAATTATGTAAATTGTAGCTTAGAAAGAGGGCAAGTAATTTTTAGATTTTGGAAATGAAATAAGAACATTAGATACAATAATTCTATTCACCTGATTAAATAAAAAAGGCTTAATAAAGATTATAAGTTGGTTTATTCAATTATAATCCATCCTGCAAGATTTATGGATTAAAAAAAGTATAGATACCACGAAATTTTTGAACTCAATAAAAACAATATGCACTTAGGAAAACACTGGTTCTAAATGCAATAATCTTGCGATACATCAGTGAAAATGCACAAAAAGTCAAGAAGTTTCGAAAACTCAATTACATCAAAAGATCATTAAGTGGTCCTATACAACAAGCTTCAGCATAGATTCACGGAAATATGAGAACCTTCATCTCTTGACAGTGGCCTCAAGATTGAAATTTAAACAGGCCAAACGAACTAAATTTCATATTTCAAAATATGACCTGTATCCAGGAAGTCAAGGAATGTATAAGAAATAAGATGAGAATTCAGACTCTGAGTGAACTGATAGTTGGCAAGGGGAAGTAATTGAAAGGAGGCAACTCATGGTCCTAATTCGGCTGAAAGGTTATTCAATCTAAGAAAGACTATATGATGTAAAGCATCCAAAGAATATCATGGGAAAAGAAACACATATCACAATGATTAGGAATCTCCTACCATAAGAAGATCAGATATAGGTATCCATCATCGAACAGAACAATGATCCTCATTCTGTGCTTCCATCAGACTAAAGTTCCCGCGAATCATTTAAATAGGTGTAGTAAAGTCACTCTGTTTTCAGGAGGACCAGGCGAACATTATGTTGATCAGAAAATTACAGGCGAAGGGGACGATGAAGCAGAGATGCAGTTGCAAGAATTTCTAGATCTTGCTCTAAGGTGCAATCCAAGAGAAGGGAGAAGATAGGACAGATATGATGACTGTTGCACAGAGCTTTGGAACAAGTCTGGTCACTATTCCTAGCTTGCTTAGCTACATTAAAATTCAGTATTCACATCAGGTTGAATGCTGCAATCACGCAATTTATAAGACCTTCAATTTTCTTTCATTATGTGTAACGTAACAACTCTACTTGCGTCCCAAATCAATAAAAGTTAAAGCTTGACTTATAACTACTTGGGGCACCTTCTCGGCTCTAAGAGTGAGTTTTACCTCCCCAGTGGCTTTGCCAAACTAGACCTCCATCAGCCACACTGCAGGAAAAACCACTAAACTGATTTGCTTCTCTTCTCAATATTAGGAAAAGCGAAATTGCTCCCTCAAATAGACACATGAACACAGCAGCAATTAAAATACATGCTATAAATTCAAAAAATATCTGTGTGAAGTTCATTTGAAAAGCATGTAGATAATCGCTATATTTACATCAAGAAATATACGGAACATAATTTCCCTAGGGAAAACGAAGAGTGATATTTCCAGTACTCAACTTGTAACGTATCAAAAACTCAATTATTTCCAA